TATCAATTGCGCGAATGGAATTTTATTAGCATACCATATATTAAACGAATCCCCTATTTTCCCATAAACCAACATCTGATCGCTTAGGTCATATGGCTGTACTTCATCATTTACGATAAACAAATTCGCGGTTGTTTGGATTTCGCCGATTTGAAATGAAACATGAACTTTTCCCAAGGTTGTTGTGGATGCGTGATTTACGCTCCCAATTCCAAACAAAATTTTTTGTTTCCGGTTGCACTGGTAATCGTAATTTAGAAAAGACCAAAAATCTTAATAGACTGACAGCGCTTCCAGTATCAATCAAACATTCGATCGGTTCACTGTCATTAATTATTGCTTTCTTCAAATACTTTGAAACGTCAGATAGATAATCCATCATGATTCATCGCGACACTATTTTGATCTTTCACTTTGTCATTCTTCATTTCTTCGCGACTCTCTGTCTGACGTGGGAGGCATTTGGCGTCACAAATCAAGCTAGAATGTTTACGCTTACATGTCGTGCAGCGCTCTTTTGATTTACATAAGCGGACCACGTGAAATTTTTGGAAGCATAGAAAACATCTCCTGTTCCATTTTAAACTTCTGTTCACGTTCCTTATCACAATTTTCGGAACTATGCTCAGAATTATTGCAAAAAATGCAAATTTTCTGAAATGTGCTCAGTGCGGTTGCGTTAGGAATCGAATCATATGAATTCAGTTCGACACCAAGAGTTTGTAAACTCCATACTTGGATTTCTGTTGTATCGTATAACTCCCTTAACTGTTTCAAATATGAAGCTGATTTTACTGCATTTAAATTTAACAAATGGTTAATATGAGATCTTACAATAATTTATTTTTTTCCGTATCTTTCTTTAAGCAATTCAACTGCTAAATCATATTATTTTCTGATACCAATAGTCCTTGAATACTAATTAAGGCTGGCCTTTCAAGAAAACTTTAAGATAATTATATTTATCTACTTTAGATAAGCGTTCGTTACTGTGAATTGCATTATCAAACTGTGACCAAAATTCCTGAAACTTCTCTAAATTACCCTCAAACGGTTCTACATGAAGTTTCAGCAAATTTATTCTTGGTTTGTTTGGTTCACTATTCGAAATAAGTGAAGAATTATTCTTCAACGCCAAATCTGCCTTATTTCTATCTGAATTCTGAAGATAATTCTTAACTTTCGATTTCGCGTAGATAATACGTTCTCTGTATTCCTGATTATTCTCGACTTCTGTTTCTAGATCAGATACTTCAGGAATTAAATTCTCAATTTCTAGATCTAACTTAAATATCTGATCTGCTTTTTCTTGTAGATTCATATCACATTCTTCTAATGATTTTGTATCTACAATATCCTGTTCTAATAATTCCCATATTCTGTTAATTACTTGTGTTGTTAACCTTCTTAAAGTTTTCCGTTTCGTTTTTGCTTTATCTAAAGCTTTCTTTGTATTCTCATCCATAATATTACCTAATAATATAATTCTATACTTCTAAATTCTGTTAGAATTATTCTACAGTTCGCATGCATTCAAATCTTTAAAAACGAAACTTACCCCTTCTTCCACGTTCTTGGTACACGAGTCATTCAATGCATACTTACATCAATCATCCCACTTCTGAAATGTTAGCTTTAATCTCCGTTATTAATCTCAGGACAGCTAGGGGTAAGTCGGGCTTTCACTTTTCATTCAATCGGGATAACTCTTGCATTTTATAAATGCTTTATTATTACAATAATTATATACATATATACATATCATTAGGGAACATTCTTAACATCAATCCTATTCTCTCGCTTCCCGATTCTCAATTGATATTGTGCGCCCCCTATCGGCGGCTTTTCTACAATGCCATCTATCGGCTGATAACAAACCTAACAGGTCCTAAACAGTTGATAATCTGAGGGAGTGAGATCAGATGAATACACTGCATGTGGAAGAACTTCCCAGCCTAAATTAAAGGTTGTTTCTTTTGTTGATAAAATGACATATGGACAAGTTTTTCATGCAACAGTACGACCTGTCGCATTCCTTGGCCAGTAAAAGGTCGCTTCTTTTTTATTTTTTTCACTCAAACAGATCAGTTGATTATTGTAGCATTTAGCATTGATAGTTTTACCAGGTTTTAGCAGTTCATAATAGAGCATGCCCTTCGTATCCTAAGAGATGAAAAACAAAATCTTTTTGCTATGAATATTCATTTTAACAACAGAAATTGATGGCTAAACAGGATCTACCAGTGGTTTTTGTCATTTGGGGTTATCACTGTAAGCCTACTTTTCATCTCCTGTTACAGAAAAAACTGTGATAGTGAGCCAGAACTGATACAGAAGTGTTCAGATAACTCTCAGCATTACATTCTATAGGCTCATATAGGATGTATTTGCCTGCTTTCTGGATCTTACCAAATGTGTACAGATGTCTGGTAATTGTCGATTGTTCAATGGCAAGCTTCTCGCCCAGTTTCTTGGTTATAGGGAATGGATCTTTGAATTGCAGTTCCATATCATTGTTTTCAAATTATTGTGGTCTTCCATTTCTGTGTTTGTCTTGCAAATTATAATCTCCCTTCTTGAGTGTGGTGAACCATTCTCTCACTGTACTTGTTCCAAGAATGTCCTCCCCATATGCTTCATTGATTGTTCTTTCAGCTTCTGCAGCAGATTTTTTGAGGCAGAAAAGGTGTAGTATCCAGTGATGAATGTGTATTTTGTCAGCAGCTATGTTAAATGAAGTGTGAACTCATTTTTTATGAAGCAATTGGTGCCAGTCTATGTAGTCTTTCAGGATTTCGTATTCCTTCTCAGATAGTTTAAAAGAGCTGTTTAAGAGTTATGCATCAACTTTTGCATATATCTAATAAATAGTTATTTAAGTTATTTGAGTATGGCAAAGCCACAAGGGCTGTCTGCATAAGACTAGATGCCTTTGTAGAAGACTTTCTGACAGAAACTGATTCATATTTATGTAGCACTGGGAGAAAACCATTCAGACAGCCAGCCTGTTCAATTGGAGTTTAACCACCAGTATTCAGTAGTTTTAACTACTCTTCCATTAGTGCAGCCCTAATAAAAGAATGCTGCCATTAAATGTTATTGTTGTGTATTATTTTTAAAGAAACAAACATAAAAACAGTATAAACAAATATAAAAAAGTATGGCAACATATAATACTTTGACAGTTATTCTGAAGATATGCTGTTTTTAAATTTTTTGTGATTTGCTGCTGAGCTGTGTGGTGTAATTGCAAAGAAAATGATGTTTAAATAAATGAATCTCAAAAGCCAAAAATTCAGTAATAAAAAGACAAAAAGTTGTGCAAACCATCTTACTAAGAAAGACAGAATGTTGATATGATGAACTGAGATAAAACTCGAAAAAAAATTTAAAATGAATGGTAGCACTTAATGCTGTATTGGAAATTCTAAAGCAGTGTATTGCCACTTGGCAAATCATAATATATTAATGCCAAAGCATTTGTATTTCAAATTTAATAAGAAAACTGGATGTTTAAAAAATGTGCTTCCACCACCCAATGTAAAATATTTTTATCTTCTATGCACCAGTTTGTTGCTATTTGGTGAAGTGTAAGATATTTCTTTCTTTCTTTATTTTTTTACATTTAATCTATCTGTTATTGATTAACAAACTAAGTGATTTCATAATAAAAAGCCAAAAACATTAGTGTCAACAGGAGTGAGTCCAAGAGCTGATTGATAAACTGTGAGCTCAGAGCATTAAAAAGCCTCAACAAACTCTCTGGTGTGGTATTAAAATCTGAATCCTTCCTTTCTTCTTTTTCTTTTCATTCTTCTTCTCCACCCTCCTTTAATAATCTCTTCACTTTTCTCCTACTTACCTTTACTTTTCGAGCATGTAGCCTGCAGCTTCTCTTTCACACCAATAGTTTAATACTGTAAAGTTATGAAACATTTGCTTGAAATTATCAAACAGCGTGTGTATCCTTTTCAGTGCGTGTATTGCTTCAGTATGTAAATTATGCTTGAATAAGATTATTATCTACAAGTCTATGATTCTGTATTTATTAGGAAAAAGTACTAAGTTTTCATCATCTGTGCCAGTTTGTTTTGTTTTTATATTACCTAGCATCATTTTGACGCCATCATGAAAATTGTAAATATATGTATATAGATGTTGTATGATCTTAAATTCATTTAGTGCGAAAATCATCATCCCTTCTATTCGCGGAAATATTTGGCCTGACTTGAATTGCCGGTTTGGCTTCGCCTTATTGCTCGAGTAAAGGACGAAAGACCTTCGTATTTATTTCTTAATTATTGTTCATTGAACGGGAGTTGGTTTGTTCCCCTTGAAAAGTCAATTTCCGATAATTATTGTTCATTGAACGGGAGTTGGTTTGTTCCCCTTGAAATGTCAACTAATTTCCGATCAATGACAATGATTACATGCATTTAATTTAATTCTTGCCTTTAATTTATTCCTTTTACAATTGAAATTTTGTTATTCATGATTTAATTCCAGTCTTCGTTAAAACATTTTTAACAATTTACATTCAAGTTACTTCAAAACATCTTTCAAAATAGAACTTTCTAAGTATGGATTCAATCTTTTAAGATAATTATACTATAATTAAACTTAGGAGATAATATAATCAATATTATTTCGTAAATAAATTATGTATATAGATATAAATTTAAACAAATTTAAATTCTTAACAAATACGTATAAAAGTAAAATATATTTGTAAAGTACATTATATAAAGTAAAAGTAAAGTACATTATATATATATCTATAATGTATATAGATATATAGAGAGAGAGAAAGAGAGACATGCACGCAGATGCACACATCTGCATGTAGCATTTAAGCCCAGAAATTAAACTTCATTTCTGAATTGAATAAAATGTTTGTTTTGAAAATTGAATAAATTTGAATTGAATAAAATGTTTGATTGTGTTATAAATTTTTAAAAAATGTTAAATAACTTCCTAATTGTTCAATATTTTGCTTATAGATAAAAAATGGTGAATGGACAAGTGAGACATGTGGTGGTTGTGGAAATAATCCTCAAACTTACCACAAAAATCCTGTTTATCAAGTCTCACTGCAATCATCTTCTGATGATAACCATTTACTGGTCGATCTAAAGGGCCCAAAGTAAGTCTATTAGTATTGCTTTCTAATAATAATGTAATAAGTATAAAATAAGCTTGATTAATGTAAAAAATTAAATTTATTTTGATTTTTAGGCAGTTCTATGTAGGTTTTGAAGTTGTTACTGTTACTGTTAATAATTCAAGTAGTCCTGGATATTTTTCAAGAAAGTCTTCTGGTGCTTTTAGGTAAGAAGTTATTGTGTTATTGTTTAAAGCTTCTTGTTTAATACCTTCATAAATATGTTGACAGATTCAGGTGTGTCAAATTTTTTATTTGAAAGTGCCTTTTCGAAGTGATTTGGGAATTTCTTTTATAATGTGCACTCATTGATTCTACAATATCATTTTAATATGTGGATTGTGTCTCTGTTTATAGTGTACTTTTAATAATTCTCTACATTTTAAAATAAATTTCCTGGTTGCTCATGTGGGTTCGTGTTCTAAAACCATTATCAGAGTTATCTGTGTTGCATTATATGGTACATTAAAGGTATGATTCAGGTACGAAAGAAAAGAAATGTATACTGTTTCAATTATACGCAATCATTTTAGATGTATATGAATAATATTTAAAATAAACCATGAGTAAAGAAACCAAAATTGCATTAATAGCTGCATAAATTGCCTTAATACATGCTATGTTTCATATTATTTTGTTTTATTCTATAAAAAAAAATTCTTTATAATACCTTTTAAAATTGTGAATGATATGTGTAATAAAATATATTAAACATAACATTTCATCTTTCTTTTTAAGAAGAAATTTTTTAATGAAGAAAACTACATTTTCTCCATGCTAAAATTTTTTCTTCATTAATTTTTTCTTAATTAAGTCTGTTAAATTTGCAGTTGATACTGTATTGTACTGTTTGGTGAACAAGATATCTATTGAAATATTTTATGCTGGAATAGAATTTATCATTTGATGAAAGCAATGTTTAATTTACTCCAAGTTTTTCTTCAATAACTTTTACTGCATAACTTTTTTTGGTACTTTTCCATTTCGCCGGCGCAAATCTCGCCAAGCAGACTTTATTGGCGACAACATACAGTATACACTTAACAAATGTTAGTTATAAGAATTTTTTATTTTAAAGGCATTAACATTTTAATATCGTTTAAAATTTTGTAAAAAGCCAATAAATTTGTACAAAGACATTAATTTAAGAATTTACTATGCTTTCATGGTTCAACATCCTGACTCGCCGGCTCGTATCACATGACTCCAAGTGATCTTATCTCATCTCACGTAAACTACACTACAAAAATCTCAGTAATTCTCTCAGTAACTATCTACATTAATTTCAAGTTAAATCTTAATTTAGAATACAGGTTTAAATGCAAGAATTATTTCTATTCGTACGAACAGCTTACTCAAAAATTAAGTAAAAAAAACCGCAGTGCTTTACTTCGCTAATGCACTCTCATTAGAATTGATGAATTTAACCCTTGACTTTACCTTTTCTATATTTTCGGCTTCGGGTGAGTGGTGTGATTGCATCCTAATTGATTTAATTACTGGGAATAGCTTTAGGACATAAAATTGAACAATCTGGGTAAAAATTCTATGTAATTGTACTACAGAGAAACAATCAATCTGATAAGAAATGGCTGTGACTTGTTTTGAAAATGAGGCGTAAAATGTTACCATCGAGGATATTACGTTTTGCATCAGTTGTACCATTATTGGCGACTTTATCGCTTGCGCCGGCAAAACGGAAAAGTACCTTTTTTTTTAAATCTGCCAATTCCCTGTAACCATAAGTAAACTTTCAATTGTTTATAAATAAAAAATGCTTTTAAATTTTTGCATAGTCTTTTGGTACATTTCAAAAGTTTTATGTTTTCTAACCATTATTGGATATGTGCAATTGTAATTTTTATTTTTCAAATAATGGAATATGGTCTCATTATTTTATTATAGTATAATGTTTAGAATGTGTTTTTTAATTTACATTTGTTTTAATTACTTCAAAAATTTTAAATTCTTGATGTGCATTAATTTTATATATGTTTTTTGAGTTTTTATGTTTTAGGATCTTTAAGTTTAGGGATGTAGCACACTCATTATAATAGTATAAGCAGGTAGTTACAGTGCCTAAAAGGCATTCCTCTTTGTAATCCATCCATACACCATCTGTTTTAAATGATGTGAAATGTGGGAAAATTTGTATTTTTCCCCTTGACATTTAATTGCTGAACACATAATATTTAAGCATATATGGGAAATTATGCCATCACTCATTTAGCCTATTCTTATATGTGTGGGGATGTAGCACACTCATTATAATTATGCCATCACTCATTATAATTATGCCATCACTCATTTAGCCTATTGTTATATGTGTTAGGGATGTAGCACACTTATTATAATAATATAAGCAGGTAGTTACAGTGCCTAAAAGGCATTCCTCTTTGTAATCCATCCATACACCATCTGTTTTAAATTATGTGAAATGTGGGAAAATTTGTATTTTTTTCCCTTGACATTTAATTGCTGAACACATAATATTTAAGCATATATGGGAAATTATGCCATCACTCATTTAGCCTATTGTTATATGTGTTCAGCTCAACTGGAAAATATAAGCATTTCCCCAAGTACTAAGCAAAATAATATGTTTGGGCATATCACGTCATTCGCTTACATATCCACTTATTGAGAATAAAATAAAATATGACTGGTTAGCCCATTTAGATAATAATAACTTCTCAACGAAACTTAGCACATATAAAAAAAAACACTTTATTTCTACAGTCAAGCACATGGTTATCAGTATATATCAGGTTAGAGTTAGAAACCCACAAATCACAGTTACAAATATTATGTATGAAAATCTAAGAAATAATGCAATACAAAGCATAATATAACACATTTTGTTTTCCGAAATGTTGTTTAAAAACAATAAAAGAATTACACACATTTTAATTAATTTTAGTTACATTAAACTATTTCAATATTACCATGTTATTTTAGGCCATTAGATTTTACTGACTCATGCTGCCATCTAGTGGCTGAGAGCTACCATAATTCTCCCAGCATTACTCCCCCACCAGTAACTAAGTTACGATACAAAGAGAACATGGTGGGGTAAAATTGAGACATGATCATCATGATTTAAATGCAAAATAATGTGGCATTATATTTCCAGTATACTATTCATAAAGCATAAAATAAAACAATTATAATCATATATCAAATGATAAATACACATCACTACTTTAGCTTATGTCATATGATTATGTAATATATAATGTGATGAAAACTATAATTTTGATATAATATAGAAGTTAATATGAATTTATCAGTTATTTAAAAAACTTGCTCAATTTTCATTTGTAATACATATGTCGACAACTTATTAAATGATAAATTATCAAAGGAAACTAAAATCTTGCCCTCTTTCACACAATACTTATTTTATATAAACTGACAAAATGCATTAACTAAAATGACAATTTACATCTTATTTGCTACTATTTAAAAGAACTGTCAAGTGTATTCTGAGGTCAATACTATATGGTTTTTACTTTTACAAACATGACAAATCACTAAAATTAATAAAAATTATCAGAATAACTCTGTTTCTAAAATCTCCTAGTATAAAATTCAATATTAATGACATGTAATAGAAAATACTTTAACCATTGAGATGTATACATATTACTCGTATAAAATGCAATATCAATGAGGTACAGTAATAAAAAATACTTTAAACTTTGAGAACACATTTACCTATTCATGAAAGTAATTTTCAAGGCATTATTCTGGATTTAAAAAAATAAAATTGATTACTTTTCAATGGTATATATACATATCTTAATCTTGGAACCGTACAGGTAGTTTTATTCTTCTACCATAGCGACTATTCCTTGTTTGTTTGTTATCATTAGTTATGACCTGAGGGATTTTCAGTGGCGGCTCGTAATAAGCACTGTGGAACTGCAGCACCCCCTATTTCCACTTATTATTATTTTTAATATTTAATATAATGTGCCTTTAATTCTTTCTTTATACTTCTACAATATTTAATCCTTAAGCTTAATGTCAATAGCCATCTCCCAGTTTATGAAAAAGTTATGAAAGTCTTTGTTTGGAACTGCGCACTTCACGTTTCCAGCGGCATCGTGTTTGGCTGTTCTGCGCATGCGCACACAGGAAGCAACACACCAGCCAGGGAGAGAAAAGAGCACTGTCGCTCTTCCAGTGCCAAATCTGGCATGCCGTTGGGAGGTAGTTCTTTTTTACTCCATGTGTGCTGTGTTTAAAAACCATGCACCATATTTTTGATTAGATTATTTTTCAGCAATTCTATTTGATTCGTTTTGTCGATTCTTTTATTTTACAGAGAACTTTAACCATGTCCTTGCATCCTCAAGTAATAAATTCTGTGACTGTAAGTTAACTTCGAGAGCTTTCGTTTTCACAGCTGTCTCTCCATGAAAAAGTTACAATTAAGAAAAAGAGGTCGTTCAACACCTGATATTCTAATATGTCAGCCAGGCATAAGCAATAATAAGAAATATATTCGTAGTTTCAATTCTGAATGGTACCAACGAAAAAGTTGGCTTTGCGGTTGTGAACTAAAAAATGCTCTGTTTTGCTTCCCGTGTTTGCTGTTTGGAGGTGATGTAACGTGGACAAAAGATGGTTTCAGAAATATAAACAAAATGAAAAAAAAAAAAACTGAAAAGCATGAGAAGTCAAAGAAGCACGTTGATAATGTAGTTTCACTGTCACTTTTAGGAACCGTTAGTATTAGGAGAAACTTAGTGAGGGATACAGACTTTCAGTCAATGAGCATAACATAAAGGTTAAAAAGAACCATGAAATTTTGTGCAAAATAATAGACTGCATTTTCTTTTGCAGAAACTTTGAAACTCCCTTATGTGGACATGATGAAAAAGGTGATTCAATAAATCCAGGGGTATTTAGAGAATTAGTAAATTTTTGCATCTAAATTAGATTCAGATTTGAAGAATCACTTAGAAACTAGTGCAGTCTTCAAAGGTGTTTCGAAGACCATTCAGAACGAGATACTTGACTGCCTGTTTCAAATATACCATGAGGAGATAAGGACAGAAATTAGAAAAGCTTCTTTTGTAGCTTTAATGGCTGATGACACAACAGATGTTTCGGAACACACTCAGATGGTCCTTGTTCTACGGTATGTATTGATTGGAGA